GTCCTGTCACTCAGCTGCACGCCTTAACCACCGTGCCACCAGGGGTCCTGTCACTCAGCTGCACGCCTTAACCACCGTGCCACCAGGGGTCCTGTGAATTCATATCACTGGCTCTTCCGCTGCCATCAAGTTGGATCTGACTCATCACTGACCCACCATCGAGTGTCGGAGGTTGTAAATTGCACAGGAAGGGACCGCCCATCATTCTCCTGAGGGACTGGTGGATTCAAACTGACCAGTGTGGCCTTTGGGTGGGCAGCCCAGCTCTGTAGGACTAGAGCACCCTTCCAGTTCAGGTGTTATGTGCCATTGCGTCAACTACGACTCTTACTGAAACCTCTCCCTATCCTGAGCCGCCCTCACGATCTCTGACATGCTCGAGCCCCGTGTGACCGTCACTGTGTCCATTCATCTTAGTGAGGGTCTGTCTTTCTCTGACCCTCCACCTTTCCCAGAAAGATGGCTCTTTCCAAGTAATATCAAAGGGGAATCTAATTTGCTGTGTAAATTTTCACCAGAAGCACAATAAAATATTAAAATTGTATGAATCACAATGGTTTGGTTCAAGGTTCCACCCCTTTGTGGTGGGGTCACCATGAGCTTGGGACCAAGTCAATGCACCTCGTACCACCACCAAACCTTATGGAGTAATTTACTGTGTGTCAGATACAGTCCTGAGAGTGAGCCAAACCCAGCTCCTTTAATCCTCACAACAGCCTTGTGAAGCAGGTATTGTTATTGTCTCCATTTGTTATTTATACCCAAAAACCCTGAGATCAGGGAAGAGTAAGTCACATGCCTACAGTCACATGGTAAATACCAAAGGAAGCTGGGGTCTGAAGCAGAGGGACCTGGCCCCACAGTGTGTGTGTGTGTGTGTGTGTGTGTGTGTGTGTGCGCGCGCGCGCGCACGCGCACTTATTCCCTGGGTGACTTTACTCTCATAGTCACAGGGCAGTTTCCAATTCTCACCCTCAGACAAACACAGTCCAAATGCCAGTCTCCTGAGGAAGACAGTCTCATTGACTTGCTTAAACATGGGGCTACTCAGGCACCCCTATGAAGTGTCCCAGACAAGGTCAACGGTCTCTCCATATCTCTTGGCTTGGATTTCTCCTAATCTTTAACTCTACAAATATTTCTTGACTTCCTACTATGGTTTGTGCCATGTTCTAGATACTGAGGACATGAGAATGAAGAAAATGAATAAAAGTCCTGGCTCTTAAAGCTTAACGGAGTGAATCAACAATAAAGTATAAAATGCAAAAACAAAACAAAAAACCAATGAAGGCTGTAAGGGAGCAATAGGAAGCATGGGGTGGTTGTGAGGTGCCATTGAGTCTGGTATGACAACCTTATGAATGACAGACCTGAACCCTGTCCTATCCTGTCATCCTCATGCTTCCTGATACATGACAGTCCACTGCGGCAGTCACTGTGCCAATCCATCTGATTCAGCGCCTTCCTCTCTTTCACTGACCCTTCACCTTTCCAAGCATGATGTCCCTCTCCAGGGAATAAATAGCCTTTTCTAGCAACATGCCTGATGTATGTGAGATGAAGCTTTATCATCTTAGCTACCAAAGAGCGCTCTGACTGCACCCTCACCAAGATATCTGTTTGTTCTTTTGGCCATCCATGGGATGTTCAATATACCACAGCTCAAAGGCATCAATTCTTCTGTCATCCTTAATCCACTGTCCAGCTCTCAGATGCATAGCAAGTGATTGGAAAGACTGTGACCTGAATCATACGCACCTGAGTCCTCAAACTGTTATCACTGCTCCTCAATAATTTGGAGAGGTCCCTGACTGGAGATTTTCCCAGTTCAATTATGTCTCCTGATTTCCTAACTGCTGGTGGCAAGGATGTTGATTGTGGATCCAAGTAAGATAAAATAGTTGACGACTTCAATCTCTTCTCCATCTATCATGATATTGCCTATAGGTCTAGGGGTAAGACTCTGTTTTCTTGACATTGAGATGCAATCCATACTGAAGGCTGCATTTCTTGATCTTCTGCAGCACTGCTTCAAGCCCTCCTCACTTTCAGCAAGCAGGGTAGTGTCATCTGCATAACAAATGTTGCTGATGAGTCTTCCTCCAATCCTGATGCCACATTCTTCATAGAGTCCAGCTTCTCAAATAATTTACTCAGCATACAGATTAAATAGGTATGGAAGGAGGACACAATCCTTTCTTAGGTCAGGAAAGAATTCATTGAGAAGGGGACATTTTAATAGAGATATTAAATTGGGAGGGAGTGCGTCTTTTATGTAGAGGGGACAGTGACAAACCCCTAGTTGGTTTCACTATCAGCCATTTCTGCCCTACTGGTCGTAATGATAACTCGGTTCTATCCACACCCAACCTAAGCTGTGACTTTTCAGGCGCATGTGAAAGGTAAATCCCAATGCCCCAGAATATATGTAAGTTTACACACACTTGGATCATGTTAAATACTGTTTGGCAAAAATGACTAACACCCAACTGCTAGGGAGTTTCTCCCATCAGCTTATTCCTTTCCAGATTGGAGAGGGACTGATAATATCAGTAGATCACTTTTTTTTTTAAATGTTTGCTGTGTCCCATGTCCGTATCCCTGTTTTACAGATAAGAAGGCTGAAGCACAGATAAGGTAAGTCACTTGCCCAGCGTCACACAGCAAGAAAATGTGTCTAACTCTGGAACCGGAGCACTCCTGTCTCCGAAGCGGCCACCAAACCCCGAAGGGCCCCTGCACCCTCCCTCCTAGAGGGGCGGGACTACAGGGGGGGGAGCACTTATCTCTATGCAGGCTGTGAACTGGTCCCGCCCCCTGGAGGAGCTGCCACTCGGAGGCGCTGGGCCGGGAAGGGCCTGGTCAGCTGTGTCCGGCGGAGGCAGCTGCTGACCCAGCTGTGGACTGTGTCGCGGTTCAGACGGGGTAGGGGCTGGAGCCCTGGGCCCCCAAAGCGGGGCTTGCTCTATGCACTCCCTCTGGTCACCCCTCTGGCCCCAGTTGGGCTCTCTCTGTCTCTTGCTCGCTGGGGTCACCTGGGCGCCCCTACCCAATATACAAGATCCCAAGTTTGAACGCAAAGGTAAAGATGGGATTGCGTGTGGTTCCCACACTGGGTTCTGAAGGGCGGCGCTGGGGCCTGAACTCCTCACCTTGGACTTGGGGGCCAACTTGGTGGCGAAACCCCTAGGCTGGCTTCTGGTGAGACTTGCTGCGACCGGATCCCTAGACTAGGTCCGGGCAGGACATACCCGGTCTAAGTTCTCAGACTGGGTCCTGGAGGGGGATTTGGAGGGGATATAGGGGCCCCAATTCAGGGCACCTGTAGCCGGTAAATCCTAATGGAGCCAGGCGGCGGTGTGTCTGCGCCCCACAGGCTAAGTCCCTGAGGACTGAGAACCTCTGGATAGGGTTCTCTGGATAGGAAAGAGGTGAAAGTGGAGTGTGTGGCCCCAGTCTGGAAACGACTGTAAACACAGTTACGCCTGGCGCCACATCCTTTGCCTCGCTGGCCCGAGGAAGGGGGCGGGGGCCACGGTTGGCGCTATCGGGCCGTGGGGAGCCTGTGGGGGCAGATAGGGGGGCCGTCTCCTCCGCACACACCCTGGGCTTGCTCAGTGGGGGCTGGGCGGGGTTGGCAGCGGGAGGCGCCGGCTCCGAGCTGCGCTCTGCTCGCCCGCCGCGGGAGGGCGGTGCGCGCGCGCAGAGACAGCAAGACCCTGAGCCCGGGACCTGGAGGGGGGAGCACCCTCCTCGGAGTCCAAAAGGGGCCCCGGCTGGGGGCGGGGCTGAGTCTTATCGGCCCAGACAGCAGGTGGGAAGGGAGGGGCCCGAGGCTGGGGCTCAGCTCTCCGACCCCCTGCCCTTGTCACCCCCTTAGTGGCCCTGTTGGGGGCCCGCGGACGCGACGAGCTGTTGTGTTTCACGGAGAGGCTGGAGGATCTGGTGTGTTTCTGGGAGGAAGCGGCCAGCGCTGGCGTAGGCCCTGACAACTACAGCTTCACCTACCAGCTCGAGTGAGTCCCACCGGGCAGGCGGGCGCCCCTCGCGTGGAGGGGCCAAGAGCGAGCGGGTGGGGATGGCGGACAGCGCTGCCTAGTGGTGTTGGCGTGAAGGCCACAGGGTCAGGGCTAGGACACTCCCAAGATCACGGCTGGAATGCGACCCCACACATCCGGATTAGGGCAACAACCTCCCAAATGAAGGAGCCGCTCACTTCAGGGAGGCGGGAACATCTGGAACGGAACAGCGTTCCCATGATCGACCCCAGGGATTCAAAGTCCCAGCCCGAACCTCCTGTTCGGGAATGACCCGTCCCTACGCGGGTGGCAGTCCCCCGAGAGGTGTCCGTAGCCCCGGCTACACGGACTCCCACTCTCTCATTTGTCGCCTTCCCTCCCACGTACCCGGGCGCACAGAGGGGAGCCATGGAAATTGTGCCGCTTGCACCAGGCGCTCACGGCCAGCGGCGCCGTGCGCTTCTGGTGTTCGCTGCCTACGGCCGACACGTCCAGCTTCGTGCCCCTGAAGCTGCGCGTCACTGCAGCCCCCTCTGGCACCCTGCGCTACCACCGCGTCATCCACGTCAACGAAGTGGGTAGGTGCACACGGGTTGAGGGTGGTCCTCCTTGGAGGTCCCGGGCTCCGCCCTGATGACGGCACCCTCCCGCAGTGTTCCTGGACCCTCCCGCAGGGCTGCTGGCCCGACAGGTCGAGGAAGGTGGCCACGTGGTGCTGCGCTGGCTCCCCCCGCCTGGGGCACCCATGACGAGCCACATCCGCTATGAGGTGGACGTCTCGGCCGGCAACGGCGCGGGGGGCGCGCAGAAGGTGAGGCCCGCCCGGAAGGTCCCACTCCCATCTCTGTAGCCCTGTCTCAACCACGTGGGGACTGGGTGGGTGGCAACGGCACCGATAAGGCCACTCGTCAGTATCTGGCGTCCTCCCACACCCGAGTCACCCTCGCACCCCCAAACCCATCCCTGACCCCCACCACAGCTCCACGCCCCACTGTTACGCCCCCTTTTCCAGTGCTGCCCTAGTCAGCCGCTTTCACTCCCAAAACCTGTCAAGGTCCCAGCCCAGTTGTCAGAGCTCCTTCCAGAAGCCTGGCCCAGCCCTCTGCTCTCATTGGCTCGCTTTGGTTTGGAATTTTCTTCCCTCCTCCAAGATTGGCTCCCCCAGGTGTTCCTTTCTGTGCGCCCCGCCCCTGCTGGCCACGCCTCTCAGCCGAGCCCCGCCCCCAGGTGGAAATCCTTCAGGGCCGCACCGAGTGCGTGCTGAGCAACCTGCGCGGCCGGACGCGGTACACCTTCGCGGTGCGCGCGCGGATGGCGGAGCCGAGCTTCGGTGGCTATTGGAGCGCCTGGTCGGAGCCTGCGTCGCTACTGACCGCAAGTGGTGAGGCCCACGCCCAGGGTGTAAGAGGGACCTGGACGGAGCACAGGGCAAGCCCACCGCCCTGATTTCCTCTCTGCCCTCCAGACCTGGATCCCCTTATCCTGACGCTCTCTGTCATCCTCGTGCTCATCCTGCTGCTGTTGGCTGTGCTCGCCTTGCTCTCCCACCGCCGGTGAGCCCCTGATTCGGGTCCCCGACCCAGACTCCTCCAGCCATCAGCCCTTTAGTCCCTCGCAGGTCAGTGCAGTTCCTGATGGGGCCAGGCACAACTTTCGCTGTCATAGCCCAGCCACAGAAAGGGAGAAGCACTTGCTGACAGACTGAGAAGTCGTGGCCATTGTCCACTAGAAATGCAAGCCAGACCAGACCTGAATGCAGTTCATATTGCCTGCTTTTAGAGGGCATTGTTGAAGTCTTCTTTCTACCCTTTCATAAATTCTTTCTCTGGTTCTTTTTACTCCAATGCTCACTCAACCAGATGGATTTCATGGAAAGACTTAAGTTCCTGAGTGCCTCCTTGCGGTGCCAAGCTCCTCACCCAGGCCTTTGAGATGTTTTCTGATCAGAACAGCTATTCTGACGGGTGTAATTCCAAGTCCACACCACATAGTCTCATGTCCTCAAGCCTTTGCCAATGCAGTTCCTTCTCCTGGCATGCCCTCCCTCTGCCTTGTCTGCAAGCTGTCTTTCCTGGTTGTCTTAAAAAGAGCCTGTTGGTTTTACCTTGTTGGCAAATACCTCACCAGTTCTGAGTAGGCAATGTGGAAAACCAGCCTGCTATGTCCTGATCTTGTGGATCCAATTGTTTCCATGACAGAGATGGGGACAGATGAGGGAGCCAGCAAACAGTGGCTGATTAGTTATGACAGAACCAAGGAGGGGTCAGGGAGGGCCTGACATCACAGCAGGGATCTGAAACTGAAAGGAGTCAGTCATGTCCCGAGCTGGGGTGAGAAACCACGGTGAAAGGCTCTGAGATGGGAATGAGCTTGGAAGGCTGAAGCAGCTGAAAAGGACCATGTGACTGGAGTAGAGTGCATGACCGGGGAGCAATGGACGGTGCAAGGGAAGTGACAGGGGTCAGATGATGTGAGGGAAGTGACAAGGGGTCAGACTGCATGGGGTCTTCTGCAGGGTTAGGGAGAAGACCTTAGATTTTATTTAGAGTGACTTGAAGATCCTTGGAAAGGAGCAAAAGAAGGAAGTGGCATGTGTCAGTGTATATCAAACTCCTATGCATCTCTCAAAACCCTGCTCTACTCTTCTGTAGGGCTTTCCTGGTGCTTTTCCCTGCTCCCATTCTGGTCTCTCTAAGGTCCAGTGCACCTCTTCATCCTGATCCCGTGTTTGTGACTGGACATTGGGAGGGGACTGGTGAGTTCAGAAACTCATGTCTTCCATCTCTTTTGGCTTCATCAGGACTCTGAAGCAGAAGTTCTGGCCAGGGATCCCGAGTCCCGAGAGTGAGTTTGAGGGCCTCTTCACCACTCACAAGGGTAACTTCCAGGTAGGTGGCCTGTCTCCTGAGGGCCTGGGTAGGTGGCCAGCCTGTCCCCCGAGTGCCTGGGCTTTTGGGTAAGGCTCTCCCTCTGAGTGAGCTGATGCTGTTCCCACAGCTGTGGCTGTACCAGAACGATGACTGTCTGTGGTGGAGCCCCTGCACCCCCTTCGTAGAGGACCCGCCTTCACCCTTGGAAGTCCTCTCTGAGCGCTGCTGGGTGGCCATGCAGGCCGTAGAGCCAGGCGCAGAGGACAAAGGGCCCCTGCTGGAGCCAGTTGGCAGCGAGCAGGCCAGGGACACCTACCTAGTGCTGGACAAGTGGCTGCTGCCCCAGAGCCCGCCCAGTGAGGACCTCCCAGAGCCTGGTGACAGTGTGGACATGACAGCCAAGGATGAGGACTCAGAAGCTTCCTCCTGCTCATCCACCACAGCCCTGAAGCCCAGGCCAGAGGGGGCATCGCCTGCCAGCTTCGAGTACACCATCCTGGACCCCAACTCTCAGCTCTTGCGCCCGCGAGCACCGCCCCTTGCTCTACCCCCGACCCCACCCCACCTTAAGTACCTGTACCTAGTGGTGTCTGACTCAGGTATCTCAACTGACTACAGTTCTGGGGACTCTCAGGGAACCCCAGGGGCTCCATCTGACAGCCCCTACTCCAATTCCTATGAGAACAGTCTCGGGCCAGTGCCTGAGCCTTCATCCCCCAGCTATGTGGCCTGCTCCTAGGTCTATGGTCAGAGTTGGGGATTCAGCATGGCTCAGCACCCAAGGGACAGTCCAGACCCAAAACTCACTGGCAGGGTGGACCGAGTGTTTGACGAGGCTAGGAACACTGCTGACACCAGTGCCCTGCCTAATGTGTCTGGTTCTGGAAGTCAGAGCTTCCCAGGATTTATAAACAGCATATGTATATATAGAAAGGGATCATTTCTAGCATGCTTTTTCCAAACACCCATCCTTCCCTGGGCCCAGGCCACAGGAAACGTCTTTTAGCTCAGCCTGAAATTTTACTTGTAAACCTGAATATATATCATAATAAAATGAATTTTTAAGAACCTCACCCCTGTGAGTTCTAATTCACAACAACCCTCCATTGAGCTTGGGAGGTTTTAAATCTCTAGGAGATGTGAATGAATGAGTGAGGGCGGTGTGGGGACAACGGTATCCGACCTCTACTAACTCCTCAAGGGGATGTGTCTCCCTCAGTAGTATCCGCCACACAAAATAAATTCTCAAGAGGTCAGACATTTCCCCTACGCTCCTGTACCTGCATCTATGAATTCCAACTCCACCCTACTGCTCTGCTGGGTCTGAAATTTACTACACAGACCTCATAAAACCATACTCACAATTATGAGGTTTATTAGGGAAGTTAATAGGTTACAATTCAGGTTGGCAACAGAATATAATTGCTCAGACAGGACAGCTTCTGAAGTGTGTCCATAGATTCCCTCAGCCTTATGGCTTTAAGCCAGCGTTACAATGCTCTCTTAGTCCGGCTAACTATGGCACTCCTCCCCAGTCCTCTAGCGAGCTTGGGCCAAGGTCTGGCTCCATGAAGTGGTCCCAGGTCAGCTCTATGTCTCCTGCTGGGTGTCTGGTTTCCTGCTGTGGCTGTTGGTGCTCTTGTTTAGATTCTGGTCTGAATGGCACAGGAACCTCTGGCCTCTTAAGCACGTGTGCTGCATCCTCTGCTTTTTCATCCTCGTTAATAGTGAGAGTCTCTGTTTCTGGCAATTAAAGATGCTCAATTTAAACCTCCTGTAATGGCCAAACTGGCTAACCCCCTCATAGACGGACTTTAAAAAAATATATTTATTTATTTTTTAATTTTATTATTGTTTTGTGTGTGTGTGTGTGTGTGTACCATCAAATCGGATCTGACTGGTACAGGAGGAGATTGTCCCTCCTTCTCCAGCAGAGCAGCTGGTGGATTTGAACCACGTGCCTCTAGGATTGCAGTGCAGCTTCTTGTCACTAAGCCACCAGAGCTCCCACAACTGTTGTTTTCGTTATGTTCCAGAGAGTCGGAAGTGACTCATAGCTGACCCTCTCATGGGTCAGAGGCTGTAAATCACACAAGAGGAGACTGGCTATCTTTCTCCCAGGGAGCAGCTGGTGGATTTGAATTGTCTGACTTTTGGGTTGGCAGCACAATTCCTTACCCAGTAGAGCCTCTATGGATTAACTAACACACCTCTGGGTAGACTATTGTTGTTGGGTGTTATCAACTATGACTCACAGTGACCCTATTTTTTTTTTTTTTACAGTGACCCTATTAATAACAGCTCTGAACCTTGTCCTATCCTGAGCCAATCACATTGTCTCTGACACACTTGATCCTGTTGCCAGTCACTGTGCCAAGCCATCTCCTCTAGGGTCTTCTTCTCCTGTGCTGACCCATGGTTAGACCAGTATTCCCTATTTGCATGATTCATCAACAATCTGCATTATGCAGATGACACAACCCTGCCTGCTGAAACTGAGGAGGACCTGAAGCACTTGCTGAAGAAGTTCAAGGACTGAAGCCTTCAATATGGATTGAGGTACAATATAAAGAGAACAAAGATTCTCACCACTGGGCCAAGTGGCAGCATCAGGATGGATGGTGAAGAGATTGAGATTGTTCACAGCTTTAGTTTGCTTGGCTCCGCAGTCAACACTCTTGGCACCAGCAGCCAGGAAATTAAAAGACGTATTATGATGGGAAAGTCTGCTGTTAGGGACCTCTCCAGAGTACTGAAGAGCAACGACATCAAGCTGGAGACTAAGGTATGCCTGATATAGGCCGTGGTCTTTTTAATCACTTGTTATGCATCAGAGAGCTGGACAATGACTAGGGAGGACAGAAGGAGAATTGATGCCTTTGAGCTGTGGTGCTGGATGAGAGTATTGAATATATCATGGACTGCTAAGAAAATGAACAGGTTTATTCTGGAGAGAGTTAACCAGGCTGCTCCTTGGAGGCAAAGATTCTGAGGCTTCATCTGACATACTCTGGACATGTTGCAAAGAGGGACCAGTCCTTGGAGAAGGACATCATGCTTAGGAAGGTGGAGGGACAGCACAGGAGGGGAAGACCCTCTATGAGGTGGATTGATACAGTGACTGGGGTAATGGGGTAGGTGTGTCGGAGACAGTGCGATTGGCACAGGACAGGGCAGAGTTTAGAGCTGTTGTACACAGGGTTGCTATGAGTCACAGGTGATTCAACGGCACATAACAACAACAACAACATACAGAGAGAACTCTGGAGAACTAGTGGTAAGGAGTTGTATTGTCAACCCAAAAGCACGTGGTTCAAAGCCACCAACTTCTCTTAGGGAGAAAGACAGGCAATTTCCTCCATGTGATTCCACAGCCTCCGAAAGCTTGCCGGAGGGTCAGTCATGAGGCAGTTCAAACTTGATAGCACATAACAGCATGGCCCAGGTTTATGGCAAAAGTCAAAGGCAAAGGTCTAGGAAAGCCATCTTGAACAGTGGACTCGCTATGCCACGGGGGGAGACTGCCCATCTTTCCCCTGTGGAGTGGCTGGTAAATTTGAACCAGGGATCTTTTTTGTTTAGCAGCCTGATCCACTACATCACCTCAATCACACAAAAAAACCAAAAAACAAAGAAAACTCCTCACGGCAGTTGAGTTGGAGTCGACTCAGAGCTGACCCTCCCGAGTCTTCAAGGCTAGAAATCTCATGGGAGAAGACTGTCCATCTTCCTGCTGAGCTAGTAGGTTCTAACCAGCAGAGAGGTATGGCCTTTGAGTTGGAAGTGCAATTCGTTCCCTACTCGGCCACCAGAGTTCACTATGGTTTTTTACTATGCTTTGAGTTGTGGTGCTGGTGAAGAGTATTAAACGTACCATGGACTGCCAAGAGAATGAACAGATCTGTCCTGTGGAGGGTGAAACCAAGCTGTTCCTGGGAGGCAAGGCTTGTGAAGCTCCATCTAACATACTCTGGGCATGCAGCCAGGAGGGACCAGTCCTTGGGGAAGGACATCATGCTTGGAAGGGTGGAGGGACAGCACAGGAGAAAAAGATGCTGGATTAGATAGACTGACCCAGTGACTAATGTGGGTAGGGGTGTCAGAGATAGTGAGCTTGGCTCAGGATACAGCAGGCTTCAGAGCTGTTGTGCATGGGGTCGCTACGAGTTGTAGTTGACTCGACAGCACATAACAACAATTACTAGGGTTCTTTAGTAAAATGAATTGTCCTTGTTCCCTGCCACCGCCTGAGTTCCAACTCCTGGTGACTGTCGAGTTTCTGAAGCTGTCCACTGTACAGGAAGGAGGCTGCCCATCTTTCTCCTAAGAAACCACTGGCGAATCTGCATCATTGAGGTGAGTGGGTGGGGGGTGAGGCCTTTGAGTTAGCAGCACAGCTCACTATGAACTAAGTCACCAGAGCATCCTCATAAAACAGTCACTACAAATTACAGTAGCTGAAGTAACAATTTAAAACCTTAGTGGCTTAGCTTGGTGGTATTCAAAATGGGTTTTGGAGGTTACTGCCTTTGACCTTGTCACGTGACTGGGTGGAAACATGCAAACAGTGCCTGTTCATCTATCCAGGTTGGCCATTCCTTCAGATCTAAACTGAGCGGGTTCCATGGCAGAGATGGAGAATCTCACTACCAGTAAGGAAGTAAAAGCAGAGAATGCCGCACACACACAGCCTTAAAGGTTAGAGATTCCTACCTCCATCAGCCCGGGCCCTACAGGAAAGCACCAGCAGCCACCAGAGACCTGACACACGACAGAGCTGCCCTGGGACCGCTGCTTCATGGAGCCAGAGTCAGGGGCCTTCACCCACGCTTACTGAAGGAATAGCAGGGGAGATGCCAGAATTGGCAGGACTAGGGGAGCTCTGCCTGTGAGCACATTTCAGAAGCTGTTCTGAAGGAGAAGCTGTAATCTGTTGCCAAGCCGGATTGTAACATGTTAACTTCCCTCATAAACCCTGTAATTGTGAGTATAGTTCTGTGAGGTCTGTGTAGCCATCGCAAGGCGTCTTGGACCCTACTGGAGGTAGGAGGTGCGGGAATGGAGGACTTGTCTGACCTCTGTGGAATGGGTTGTGGATGCTGTTGATGTGGACGGTTCCCCTGTGGAGTTAGCAGAGGTTAGACTCGGCCTCACACTCTCTCAATCCTTTTACACTGAGCACACTGTATAGCTTCGCTTCTTGCTTAGTTCAAGCAGGGAGAAGTCAGAAGCCCAGGTGTTTCTGTCCGTGACTTCCCCAGCCCCTAGGGCTTCCCTGGGTCTTCAGATGGATCCTGTGCAGCCTGCCAGGCAACAAGTGAGGAGAGATTACACAGGATTCCCTGGGCCACTTTAAGGATCACACATAGAAATGGTCTACGTCTCTTCTCATATTCCATTGGAGGGAAAGACACATGATAGTCTGTCACATGGTTGTTGTTGTTGCTGCTGTTGTTAGGTACTTTCAAGTCAGAACCAACCTACAGCTGACCCTTCAAGTGGGTTTTCAGAGACAATAAACTGCACAGGTGTAAACTTCCCATCTTTCTCCTATGGAGCAGCTGGTGGATTCAAACCATGTGCCTTCAGGTTGGCAGCTCAGTGCCTCGCCAGTAGGCCATCTGAGTTCCCTAGGAATATGGAGGGCTGGGAAATTTAAGTTAGCTGTTTGCTCAGGACGAAGAAAGGTGGTTGGTGAGCCTCTAGCTAATCTTTGCCATAAATCATCACAGTAATAATGATAATAACTCACTGGGCCTTAATCATCTGTTGTTGACTGCTGTTGGATTGAGCACGATTCATGGTGACTCTATGAACAAAAGGCCTGAAGCCTTTCTATAATTATAAACATTTATCAAAGTTCACAGAGTTTCTAGAGGCATGTTGTTTTAGGAAGCAGATGCCACTCCTGTTACTCTTCTGAGTCAGGCTCTATTCTGTGAAAGACTCTTCATGATGGCAAATGTTGGTGGGGATGTGGGCCAGGGTCTAACCCCTTTGGAGATAGTATGGCATAACCTAGGAAAGCTGAATATACGCATATAGCTTCCATTCTAGCAATTGTACTTCCAGACACAATGCCATCTTCTAGCAACAAAGGACTGCAGCAATGGGCTTGAGCATGGCAGAGACCATGAAGATGGCACAGGAGAAGGTAGAGTTTAGAGCTACCGTTCATAGGGTTCCTAGGAGTCACTTGACTCGACAGACACTGACAACATTGACACTTTAGGACCAAGCAGAACGGCCCCTTCGTGTTTCCAAGGTTGTAATGTTTACAGAAGCAGACTGCTATATCATTCTCCCATAGAGCAGCTGGTGGATTTGAACAGCTGACTTTTCAGCTGGCCATCCAATACTTAATCCACTATGCCATCAGAGCTCCTCCTGCACACACTGCTCTAGAAACTCACATGCACGTACAATCTTACAACTCTGAGCAGGTAAAGAAGAGAATTTCAGGTAACAGGCGATCCAAAACCCTTTTTATAAAGTTCCAAGAAAATCAAAGCTAACAGTAAGGGGCTAAGACATAGTATGTGTGTACATGACAACACTCTTTTGAAAAGAGAAAAGACACTTTACATCCTTTGTAGCATACTGTCAAGTCAGAACCGACTAACAGCTGACCCTCCAGCGGGTTTTCAGAGGTAGTAAATGACATGGGAGAAGAATGTCCATCTTTCTCCTGCAGCTAGATTTGAACTCTGTGTCTTTGGGATGGCAGTGGAGCTCCTTCCCACCAGGCCACCAGAGCTCCCCTTAAGGTTCATGAATTTCCACATGTCCCTGAGGTCCACACTTTCAATCCCTATCTAGAAACGGGAGACCGAGGCCTTGGGAGGTTGTCCCACACCAGAGCTTGTGCCCTCGCCTGAGCTGGGATCACCCTCCTCAGTGGACAAGGAGGTGACTGTTAGCGATCCATCTGGCTGGAAAGTCACTGAACACACTGTCCGGGGGCCCAGTTCGCCTGGTTCCAGGCAGACTCGGAGGCCGCGGTGTCTGGGACCCTGGGCATCCAGCTGCAGCCAACAGGAAGCAGAGAAATACCGCTGGAGTAGTGCCAGCTGCCGGGTGTCCCCACTGTCTACATCTTCTTGAGTCTGGAGGGCTACCACGAGCCCACAGCCCCCACGGGGCCCAGCCCGGTGGCTGAAGTGGGCAGTGGTGTCCAGAAGCAGGGCAGCCAGGTGGGCCACTTCGTGGGGCCTCTGGTGTTCTGACAGGTACTCCTCCAAGCAGTCAAGCAGCAGGAGGGCAGGGGCTGGTCCCTGGGCCTCGTGGGCAGAGCACAGGAACCGGAAAAGCTCGCGGGCCGAAGGGGGGTACTTGAAGTGGATCTTCTAGAGGAGGAAAAGAAAGCCAGTTTCCACACCAGTGAGCCGGAATCTCAACTTGGCCCAGTCCTGCTTGCTTGCTTACTTCCTTGGATGGGGTTCTCACTCCCTCTACAGATAGCTGGTTCCAGTGGTAGACAGCTCAAACCAGCCAAATGACCTTTTACCCCCTTTTTCTCTAGCACTCATCACCAACTATCAATATTTTTTCTTTTTTTTTTAAATTACTTTTAATGAACGTTTAGAGATTTTGGATTTCCATTCATTCATCGTTGCAGTTTTCTTCCTGCCCACCCCTCCCCCCCAGTTTGCTCTTCTCTTTGAAAAGTAAAAGAAAAACTCTTTCTTTGGTATACAATCCCGCCCGACCCCGCCCGGAGTACACTCCACTATGCAACCTTTATTCTGGACTCTTGTCATAACCATAATACCCAATCATATATCGCTTTTAAACAGTTCTCTCCCTCATCTGTTTCAATGCCGTATACTTCATCTAGTTTTTCCTCAGTCTCATCCCAACCCTGATGTCAGTCTTGTTCTACAAAAGTGGCACTACGCAGTATTTGTCCTTTTGTGACAGAGATATTTCACTCAGCATAATGTCCTCCAGGGTCACTCATTTTGAATAATATCAACTATTAATATTTAAGAGTAATCTGGGCGGGGGAGGGCTGGGCAGGGAGAAAAGTGCAACAATGAATGAATGAAAATCCAAAATCTCTGTAAATGTTCGATAAAATTAATAAAATAAAATTAAAAAAAAACCGAGTAATCTGTCTTTTGCTGAATCTCTAGGGGAATCCTTCCATGCAAAATCTGCCCCCAGCACCAGCAGGTATTGCCCACCCTTTACTCCAAGTCCATCAGACATCACGCTTTAGCCCCGCCCCCAAGAGCTCCTGACCCCACCCCTTGGCCGTCACCGCTCCTTAACCCCACCCCATCATGGAAGGCTTTCTCTACACGTGGTCCAGCCTCTCACTCATCCTTGACTCCGCCCCACTCGGGCCTTCCTCCAGAACTGTCATTCGCCTGGCAACCTATCGCTCAGTCCTGTATGCACCCTCCCATTGGCCATCCGCCTCTGGTCCCGCCTCACTACTACCTGAAGTCGCAGGGGGTCCAGCGCCGCACCGGTTCGGAAAGGCAGGCTTTGCAGGGGTCTCCGGGCCAGGAAGAGGACAGGGCCGCGGCCCTCCCCTGCCACCTCCAAGGCAGCCGCAAACAGCAGTGCCGTCTTCCCGGAGCCTGAGCCGCCGAGCAGCAGCAAAGGTGGCCCAGCCGCCACCGTGTTTTCTTCCGAGGGTCTGCTTGCCCGGCCCGCGCTTAGCATTCGCCTCAGCAACTCCGCCATTTGCAACGGACTTCTGTCCAATCGGCTGCCCGTTCCGGCCTCAGTCCCGCCTAAACGGCAGCCTTATTGGTTACAGTATACTTAGAGCCTCTATTGGTTCGTGAGGCTGTCCATCAAGATGAGATCGGCCTTTCCTGGCTCCTCCCCTGACGAAGGGGCAAGTAACCTAGTTTGATGGAAAAGGAATGGGGTCATTTGGGAGAGATGAGATTTTTTTCTTTAGGGAAGTGTTATGAAAGAAGCAGGACAAATAAGATTATTGTGAGCCAATCAAGTAGTCAGATAAATGTGAGGGTTTAGAGTTTTGAGGAGCAGGCCCAAATCACATGTTAACTTCTAGCCTCTGTTTGCTCGCCTGTGAAATGGGGCTTCTTGTTCTTGATTGCCTTCGAGTCGAGCACGACGCATAGCGACTCTATGAACAAAAGGCCTGAAGACCCTCTACAACTATCGACATCTATCAAAGTTCATAGAGTTTCCAGAGGCGTGTTGTTTAGGAAGTGAATGGCACCCCTGCTTACTGAGAGGTTTATCAGGATGGGCACATGTCTGTGTATTTCTGTAGCTTTCACCTGATGAATCGAAAAGTAGATAGCGAGATGAAAAATGAAACTTGGAGGTGAACCTGGGTAGGAGGGTTGTACAGTGTGACCAGTGTGTATCTGGGGCTGCAGACTCATGGGCCCCCTTGTGAAAAACAGCAGCAGCCCTCTCTAGGGTTCTCTGAGAGGAGAGGGTCTCAGCTGGCTTTCTTACTGGAATTCTTGGGTCTTACTTGGGGTACAGGGCGAGACGGGGCCATGGAGAAAGAACAGACAAAGAGAGGGGTTGGGAAACTGAAGGAGAGACCTTGCAAAGGAACTTATTTGTTGCGTGACATCTATATTATCAGAGCTCAAAGCACTGGCTAGCACATAGTAGGTCGTCAGTATATCCTCGTTTGATAGCTCCATGAGGTCAGGCGGGCTGGAGTGGTGAGGAACCGAGAGAGATGGGGGAGCAGGTGAAGTGAGAAAGCGGTCGCTGGCTTCATCTTCTCACCCAGACTTGGCCCCAGAGCTGCCACTCACCTCCGCGTTGCCCTGGCAACTCTGTCTCCTGGTAACTTCAAAGTGGTCCTGTTGCCAAGAGACCCAGGGGCAGGGCGGAACTAAGATTTCCTGGTCTTCTTCTCTCCTTCCCTCCCTCTTTTTCTCTCTGCGCCCAGGAAGCAGCTCCAGAACATCCCTCAGCCCAGGACACCCACACAAGCAGCTGGGCACCTACTACACCTACACACAGCATGACACCTCTGTATATAGCCCACTTCTAAATTCCACGTCATCACCAGCCCTTCGTTTACAGTTCATCCCCTTAACCCTGTCTTGACAAGGCATCCTCTGCACATTGTCTCCTGCTACAGTCATGTCCCTACACCTCTTCCCTAATACAGGCAGCCACTTGAATAGACTCAGATACACACACACATACTCTCTCTCTCTCTCTCTCTCACACACACACACACACACACACACACACACACACACTCATTCTCAGCAGATATGCAGCCCTGTCTACACACTCCAAGGCAAACTGTTGCCTTACTCTGTCAGACAAACCATCGGGCCCTCAAAGAGGTACACCCCATGATTCACCTCACTGTGCAGCACTCTGAGTGCATAAGTTTCTGGTCACTTCTAGGCCTACATGCAGGAGGAGGCGGAGCACAGCCCCACTGCAGGGCCTGCCTTTGCACTTGCTGTTCCCTTGCCTGCAACAGTGAGCTGTCAGATATCACTGAGGCTCATTCTGTTTCCCCCCCACTCCATTCAGATTTCTGCTTAAAATGTCCCCGATTCGGGGGAGCTCTGGTGGCCTAGTGGCAAGAAGCTGCACTGCAATCCCAGAGGTACATGGTTTGAATCAACTAGATGCTCTGCTGTAGGAGGGACAATCTCCTCCTGTACCAGTCAGATCCAATTTAACGGCACACACACACACACACACACACACACACACACACACACACACACACACTTTTAGGGAGCTCTGGTAGCCTAGTGGCAAGAAGCTGCACTGCAATCTCAGAGGTATGTGGTTTGAATCCACCAGATGCTCTGCTGGAGAAGGAGGGGCAATCTCCTGTACCATTAAGATCCGATTTGACGGTACACCCCCCCCCCCCAGTAATAAAATTTAAAAATGTCCTCTACTCTGAGAGGGTTTCTCTGACCACCTGTCTGAAACTCCATGCACATATCCCTTTGCCTGCCTGTCTTGCTTGATTTCCAATAACTTATCACCTCACACGTTATATATTTATTTTATCACCTCTCATCTAAAATGCCAAAGGACAGTGATCTAAGTCTGGAGATTAAGGTGTGCCGGATTCAGGGCCTGGTCTTTTCAATTACTTGCTATGCATCAGAGAGTAGGACAGTGACTATGGTTGATAGAAGAATTAATGCCTTTGAATTGTCGTATTGAACATACCATGGACTTCCAAGAGAACAAGCAGGTTTAGCCTTGAGAAGATGAAACCAAGCTACTCCTTGGAGTCAAGGATTTTGGAGCTCTGTCTCACATACTTTGGGCATGTGGCCAAGAGGGATATGTGCCTGGAGAAGGACATCATGTTTGGAAGGGTGGAGAAGACAGCACAGGAGAGGAAGATCCTCGATGATATGGGCTGACACAGTGACTGGGGTAATGGGGTAATGTGTCAGAATCAGTGAGACTAGCTCAAGATAGGCAGTGTTCAGAGCTATTGAACACAGGGATTAATATGAGTTGCAGTTGGCTGGGTGGCACAAAACAACACCATGACCTCACTAGAATGCCAGCCCCGTGAGGGGAGAGATTGTTGTCTGCTTTGTTCATCATTGGATCTTCTAACAGCATTTGGCACCAAAGTGAGCACGTTGCCGTCAAGTCAGTGACCCCATGGGACAGAGTGGAACTGCTCCATAGGGTTTCCACGGCTGTCATATTTATGGAACAGGCTGCCACACCATTCTCTTGTGTGGCTGCTGGGTTCAAGCTGCCAGCCTTTCAGTCAGTAGTCAAGTGCCCTAACCATGCATGATGCCACTATGATTTCTTAGGCACACAGTACACACTGTCACCTAATCAATTCCAGCTTAAAACTGGAACCTTTTGGGGAGCTCTGGATGCCTAGTGGCATGAAGCTGCACTGCAATCCCGAAGGCACAGGGTTCGAATCCACCAGATCCTCTGCTGGAGATTTGACAGCACACCACAAGTAAAAAAAACAAAACAAAAAACAACTGGAATCTTTTGAGAACCTCCATGGCTTAGTGGTAAGGAGTTGCTCTGCCAAACCAAAGGTATGTGGTTCAAATCCACCAGCTGCTCCAAGGGAGAGTGATGGGGCCTATTTCCTCTCATGTGAATTACAGCCCCTGAGAACCCGCCAGAGGGTCAGCGATGGGTCAGTTTCAACCGGATGGTACAGAACAACAACAGGACAGAGTAGAACGGCTTCCAGTGGTTTCCAAGGCTGTAAAAGTTTGCAGAGGCAGACTGCCACATCTTTCTACTATGGAGCTACTAGTGTATTTGAACTTTGGATCTTTTATTTAGCAGCATAATATATGATGCACTGTCCCACTGTTGTTGTTAAGTGCTGTTATGTCAACTATGACCTATAGTTACCTTATGAACAAGAGATCTGAATCTTGCCATATCCTGTGCCATCCTTATCATGACAAACAACTGGAGTCAGAAAATTAAAATGTCAGAACTCGCTTAGCATTTCTTAAGCTGAAGGAACTAAAGAACAAATTCAAGCCACGAGTTGCAATGCCTAAGGATGCTATGGGCAGAATATTGAATGATTCAGGAAGCATTAAAAGAAGATGGAAGGAGTATAAAGAGTCACAGTACCAAAAAGAAGTGGCTGACACAAAAGAATTTCAAGAAACAACATATGATCAAGAGGCAATGGTGATGAAGGAGGAAGTTCATGCTGCTCTGAAGGACTTGGCAAAAAAAGAAGCCCCCAAAATTGATGAAGGACCAATTGATGTTTTTCAGCAAATAGATGCTGCCCTGCCTATGCTCACCAAGTTATTCCAAGAAATCTTGAGTGTTGCAGACCAAGGGTCCCAAAGAATGAAATAATTTTATAATTCTTAATAATGAGACAGATTACCAGGAATGATATAGAACAGAGAGTGTGAAAAACAGGGGGCCAACAGT